AGGCGAGCCGACAAGGTTGCTCACCTTCGATCAGGCTACCGTCCTAACAACTATCACCATACTCGGCAGCAGCGATATAACCAATTTTCAAATATTCTTTAAATCGCCTGTTATTATGTAAAGACTTTGCAACCCAAGTTGCGAGTGATCAGTTGATTTTCTACGTTTATTGCATTAGAAATGTAATTTTCTTCTCATACTTTTCGTTAAATGTCACTCTATATGACTCGTGCATTGACTTTGATGTGGACTAAGATGTCGCGTTGTTGTTGATGTAGAAATACGCAGCACCTGCTTCTGTGGAACAGGATGTATTGACAGAACGACGCGGCCGGGTACGCAAAAATATCTCAGCGTAGCAAGGCAAAGGGGGATAATCGAGGGATTTCACGTTAAATCAGTGCACTTTCAACTGATGCGAACTACCAATTTGACGCATGAAAGCCTTTCATGTACTAAGACTGGCACCAACACACTACATTTAATATGCGTGAAGATTAGAGGTCCAGATATCATATCTTTTCACAATACCCCAAAGAAGAGGAAGAAGAAGGTACGAGGACATGGACTGATTTATTTTGAGACTGACGTTTCGGACACTCTCTCGGTTCCATCGTCAGAGTAAGTGGGTGGTTTTCCTTGTTCGCCGGGACTGTTGCAGGCTTGCCGAGTGCCTGCTATTATATTCGCGCTCGACGCACGAACTTCGACCTGCCTGATCGACATTGATTGACCCTAATATTGATCGCTGGTGAGCTCGTGTAATTTCTGCTCACTTATCGGCTGTCGCAAGTCAGCGTGCTGGCTGACGTGCTGATCGTCGACTGAGGAATGTTCCTGCCCGCCTGAGTTGATCTCAACTTCGTGGGTGCGGTGGTGATAAGCTTCCTGGCCGGCTTCTCCACTTTGTACTTCCGAGGCTGGTTTTATTCCGCAGAGTTTATTTTGCCTTTTTGTTGGCCTTGTTCGAACTGACTCGAGCCTTTTGCGCACCGCCTGATAGGCAGGGTGGAGGTCTTTGTCTCTGTTAAGTGTGCCAGTCGAAGACCAACTTTCCAGCAGCAATCTAGCCATTTTTTCGTTGGCTTGGGCAAGGACCCTTGCTTGGTCAAAAGCGAAAACTTGTTTCTTCTGCTGTACGTGGGCATAGACTGTAGGCTGCTTATCGTTGCGGTCGATTGCCTGCTGATGCTCGTGCAATTTTCTGCCCAGGTGTCTGTCCGTTTCACCAACATACCTTGCATCCCAGTATTGGCATGGTAC